GATGATATGAGGAAGGAAGGTTAACTCAGAGATAGCTTGCAATGGAAGAAGGAGGAAGAATGAGCTCTCTCTATGTGTATAGGCTTTCTCTCAATTGTTCAACCCTCAAAACAGAGGTATATTGTCGTATTTATAGAATCTAAGCAAGAAACATCATAAATATCTTCAAAAATTGACAACTGGCGACCTCCCGCCCAGAATAGTGTTTCTCTCTATTGAAGCCCGGCCGACCCTCAATCGCCATGGCCGGCCCTCAATGAGGCACAGCCAGGACTCAATGAATTCCCCTGTTTTTCTGTTTCAGTCTCAACACAGGGTGGCACAAGGTGTACAAATGAATTTCTTGGGTATGATCAGTGGGAATATAGAAGGTTTGGGGCTGTTTCAAAGCTTAAATAAGGCTCCTTCGTTGAGACCTCGAACCACGCATAATACCACTTTCATCATCGAGTGTACCGAGTAAAGCGCTCAAGCCTTGCGGGCGGTAAAAAATAGGGTGTCCACAATATCTGTTAAGAGTTATGAATGTATTTATTATTATATATTATAGCAAAGTGACTTTTCGTGAGGAACATTGTAGGGCCTCCAAACCTCCTACCAATATTTGTGAATTTTTGAATTAAAATATAATTTTAAAAAAATGCTATTGGCTAACTTATAATAATTATAAAAATACTAATTATTTCATGATTTATGCTTCTTAAAAGGAAAGATAATAGAATTTTCTTCATCTATTGTCAAAATCTATTATCTATCACAAAAATTTAAATAGAAAGATTAAGAAATTTTCAAAACTAATCTAAAATTTTTATTTTTGTAATTTAAAAATTAAAAAATGCACATGTTATAAAATTATTGGTTCATCTACGGTCTACCCCCATTAAATTTAAAATTTTGAACATTTGTATCCCTATACTTTCACACAATTTTCAATGACATCCCCAGATTTTGAATAATTTCAATTTTATCCCTAAAGCTTTTGAAATTGTATCAATTTTGCCCTTGCCATCAAATTTGAAATAGAAAAAGTTAAAAAAATTACATTTTGGCTCCAAATTTCAAATAATAGATACAAACTCATCCTCTCTCCTTTTTACACCTCTACAATTCTACCGGCCACCACCACCGGCGGCGATAGCTAACCCTCTTCCTCCCTTTACTACTACAACATTCATGGACTGAAGATGAAAGCCGTCTGGCCCTTATTCATACCCTCCTCAAACCACATAGACCCAATTTCACCACTCTCAGTTTCACATCCCTCTTTCATTTTCCCAACAAGATCATCACAATCTTTTGAATACAAAACACATTTCAATAGCATAAGTGTAAGCCCCCTTCCTATTTCTCTCTCTCTCTCTCTCTATATATATATACACATACATATATTTATATATGTATATGTATATGTATATGTATATGTATATTGTGGATTGCAGATAGAGTTCTTCATAGGCTTGTAAAGAGATTTGCTACGCATCGTCTTCAACAATAGAGGCATCTTCAAATGGATCTTGCTCGCATAGATCGGCGAAGAAGAGAGAGGATTTTGTGGTATTGGAGGAGAATAAGAGCCCATATCAAGCTGCGTTTGATCGGAAAGCTTCCAAATCTAGATTTGTTGGGTGTGGATACATGAGCTTTTCTGGGGACTTTTTTGAGAGAATCTCAACTGGGCTTGGGAATTGTACTCTCAGGTGAGTCGAGTATCAGAGAGAAGGCAAGCCTACGGTCACCCATGTCCACCGTTGTGTTGGTGGATAGGATTGTATGAAAGAAAAAGTCAAATGTAGTGGGATTTTTAATGGGTTGTGATCACTTCCTCATCTTCTCATTGGATTTCATCTTCAGCTGAAGATAACAATCATATGAGTGGCAAGGCGGCGGCAATGGTGGCAGCGGCGGTGGCAACATTGGTGGCGGTGAGGCATCTTTCTCATGGGAGGAGTATGAGTTAGGGATGGGCATTTGTGAGTCCAATTAGCGCTTTGAGTAAGCCTTCTTCAATTGAGAAGAAAGAGGGTTCCAATATGAACAACACCAATAGCAACAACAACACCATTCCTTCTTTGTTAGCTGTGGAAGGCTAAAGATATGTTTTTCAATCCATAAACACTGCAATGGTAGAGGAAGGAGGAGGCCTAGCAGCTGCCGCTGCCGCCGCCGCCGCCGATGGTGGTGACCGAGAGAGTTGTAGAGGTGTAAAGAGAAAAGATGGTGAGTTTGGGTAGAAGATGGTAGGTTTGTATTTATCATTTAAAATTTTGGGCAACATATAATTTTTTTTAACTTTTTTCATTTCAAATTTGACAGCAAGAGCAAAATTGATACAATTTCAAAAAATTTGGAAGCAAAATTGAAATTATTCAAAATTTGGAGGTGTCATTAAAAATCGTGTGAAAGTATAGGGGTAAAATGAAATTTGCTCAAATGTTTATATATAAAGTCTAAAATAAAGTTGTAATCATATACAAATTATATGAAATTTAAAAATTCTTAATAGTTAAGTTTAACATGAAATTTTATTCATACTTAATTCAAAACTTTCTATTCTATAAGCAAAATCGTTGTCAAACCTTTGAGAAAAAAATAAATTAAATTTATTAATTTATGAATTATTTCAGACATTGATTATACGCTAGTCTATATATATACATATATATATATATATATATAAGAAAATGAGCATTTTAATGGAAATCCTTGTAAGAGTTTTTTACTCTCATTCTAAAATTTCTAATATTTTTATTTAAATAATTAAAAAAAAATCTTTTATTGGCTAGCCTCATTCAAGAAAAATAAATAAATAAATAATATTTTTAAATTTATGACTTTAAAAATGGAAAGTATACTAATTTATTTCAAAATTCAAATTGAGGGAAAGTGTACTAATCCTTCTTCAAATTCAAATGGAAAGTATACTAATCCTTTTTCTTTCTCTCTTAGAATTTGAAGGTGTCATCCATAGTCATCTTTACATATGGGTCTGGTTAATTATTGTTCTGTTGCTAACAGAGACCGTACAAACACAGAGATTAAGCTTGAATGAAAGGCAAAAATAAAAAGAAATATGTTTCTCGTGTAAGCTTCGCCATTTTTTTTTTACTATAGAATTTGAAGGAGGCATCCATGATTATCTTCACATATGAGTTTAGTTTATTGTTGTTCCATTGCTAACAAAAGCCAGATGAACGTGGATATTAAGCTTGAATGAAAGGCAAAAATAAAAAGAAACAAATTTAAATATCAATGAAATCTTAACAATCATCATTTTGAAAGACAGAGCTGTAAAGAATATTTATTCTAGTAGAGATGACGCAATAAAAAATATTATGTAGTTGTTTGAGATGTGTTATATAAGTACATTTTTTGACTTTTTTGCGAAAAGATGTGTAATAAAATATTGTAGTAAAATCAAAATGAAAATGACAATTTTATCCTTTTGGCTTTTTGACTTTTTGGGTAGTTGAATTCAAAGGGCAAAATAATAATTTTGCCCTTGTGACTTTCCCCACAAGCTACTCTTGAATAGTTTAGACTTTTGAGCTTTTTTAGTGACTTTTGAACTTTTTTAGTAACTTTTTAATTTTTTGTCTTTTTTAATTTATCCCAAACAATATGTGAAAGCAGTGAATGATGTTTATTGTGTAAGTTTTTTTCCTTTTTTAACGTAAATTCCTGCTGTTTAGTTAAGTATAAATATTACTTATGGAAAATAATTCCTTAAATCATGTGCATTTTAAAATTTAAACCCCAAAATGATAGGTGAATTCAATAAATTCTTTGTTGACTACAATTTTAAATTTCAATTTTTGGTAGCTAATATTTAAAAAAAAAAAAAAAAAAAATCAACATAATTGGATTGGAGTTTTGAAACTCCGAGAGTTCTTAAAATTAAAAACTCATTTTCTTAATATATAGTATAGATAGTTGATTAATGTCCAAGTGACACTTAAATTATTGATTGGAAAAGAGAAACAGTAGTCAAATTATTAGAAAAAATTATAGATATTAAAGTTTTGATTGAAAGATTAAGACAAAGAAAAAATAATTATTATTAACTTCACAATATATTACTCTTCTAGTCATTTTTTATCTAGTAATATCATAACCCTAAAAATAAAACAAAGAAAATTGATTTGTGTGCAGCTGAAATTGATTGACTAGTAGATATATCATTAGAGCATCCACAATGGACACACTAACGCGTTTGTTATTGTCAGTTGCCAAGTTTTGGCTAGCAGTGGTGTGTGTTTGGGGCTGCAATAGAGTTGTTAGTGCGTGTGTTAGTGGGCTTCGTTAGCGTCAGTTGCTAAATGGTTTGTTAACCGCGGCTAGCACTTTAGCTAGCGCAGGGAAGTGTTTTTTTTTTTTTCCGGGTCGAACGTCCGGCCGGTTGACCCGATCAACGAACGGAATTTTTTTTTTTACTTGTTGGGATTTTTTTTTTGGACTTCAAATTTAATTTTGGGCTTGAAATTTTTTAGTAAATTAAATTATTTATTTATTTTATTTATTAAATACACATATATATATATATATTTAACACACCCCTTAACACATCCATTGCACCACTACTCGCTCTCTAAAATTACCAAACTCTTAACACATCTTAATAAATATTTTTAGGCCCACTTTTATTACTTTTTATCATATAATATACACTTCAACAAATAATTTTGACTATTTCATTGTGAATGCCCTTATTTAATTCACTGCCTAAATAAATAAAACCACCGCACGCGTACATTTAGAATTTTTTTTTATTTTTTTATTGTGCAGCATGGTACATATAGATCAGGTTATTAGACCCAACTTACACTTAGAGGGAGCTGTTGTAGTGTGCAAGGCTTTGCATACCATATGCAAGTTAATTCTCAGCCATTAAATTTGATTAAATTAATCTAAACCCTTCAATATTTTATACAGTTTATACCATTTACCTGCTAAACCGGTTGAAACTTTCCCGGCCATCCTCCCTATTTTCATCAGTCACCTCTCTCTGGTTTGGCTAAACAGGACTCCTCTCTCTCTCTCTTCTCTGGTCGTCTTCCACGAATGGAGATCGAAGTCGCAGGCTGTGCAAGGATTGAAGAGGTAAAATTTTCTCCCCCTTGCTCGAATCTATGGTTTCTCTCCCTCAATCTCTCTCTCTCTGATTTCTCTTGCTCGTTATCATCTCTCACTCTCGTCTCTTGCTTTCGGAGGCTTCTTGAGGATCTCTATCCTCTCCAGTAGCTTATTGGTTCAAAAGAGTTCTCATTGAAGAGGTATGGTTTGAAATTCCTAAAGCCCTATTTCTCGATAAATAGGTAATTTCACGAATCAAACAGTATCTCACACAACTTGATTATAAGATATATTGGGTGAAATTTGTTGGTAGAATTTGATAGATTATTAGTTAATAATGGATTCTTTGCCTAGTTGGTTACTGTCTTACTTGTTCTTTTTTTAATTTTTGTTTTCTATATTTTATCTCGTCTCTTGCCTATTCACAGTTTGAATGTAATATTTGTTTCATGGCCTCATGGGTTTCAATTGAAAAATTAGGTTTGGGGTTGGGATTATTCCTATATCCATTGTGGTTAACTTATTATATTTTTGTTTGATTAAATTGTCTGTGTAATTTGATTTTGATTTTCATTTAGTTGGTAAATAGGATAAATTATTCAATGCTCGTGGAGCAATGGTAAATAGGAAATTCAATTTAAATTTTTTTGAATTTTTATTAGCCCAGATGAAAGGTAAAATTGAATTCATAAATTAAACTGTATCTAGCACAACTTGATAGTTTCTAGCATTGATTGTGCCCTATGATGAGGTTCAGGTTGTTCACTTAGTAAGATGACACTGCCTTAATGAAATTCAATTTTATTTAATTTTGTGATAAGTACATCTATTAGGATAGATAAACAAGCACTATAGTGGCTATGTGTTTCCTTGGTAGAGGCCCGACTTGCATGTTCTTTGCTTTCCAAACTAAACCCTGGGGAAATTGAGCTGGATAGCAACTTCAGTTTAGTACTGTCCTCTATCTCCATTCTCTTCTTGCTTCATTTTTTTCTTTTTTCTTTTTTTATAAAATGTTTTGATAGTATTTTCTTTTGTAAGGTAGGGAGACTCAAACTTTAGTCTGTTTATTAAGGTAATGTGACCTACGCAGCTGGGGTATCATTTTTTGCTTATTATTAGATTTTTTTATAGTGTTATTCTTTTTTACATTGGAAACTTAGTCCAAGTGTTTGTTAACTAGATTATTATTCAACAAATCCATTCATATGTGCATGTGGTGCAATTGATGAATGTATTGTACAACCTAGATGTCGTAGGATATTTTCAATTCTCACATTAAGTATATATGTCAACTAATGAATGTACTATAACCTTTAAGATTTTTGTTTGTTGGTTTTTTCCCTAGTCAAAGATATTAGAAGTTTATTTTTCTTGTCTTTCTTCACAAGAAATTCTGATTGAAGCCTAATGGATTAGTTACATGTGGTTTAAGATTCATGAGAATCGTCTTAATAATTCTATTTTTCGGGAACCATGTTAACCTTGTCGTGGTGATATATTCCCACTCTTTTTAGTTGTGCGTGTCCTTTAATTATTAAAAAGAGAAATCATTCTTATTCCAATTTGAATTATGAATTTTTTGTTTTATAAATAATTTCTAGTAGTCGCGAGATATATTGAGGGCTATGACATTCTGATTCTTTTTCTATTTAATTATGTGGTTGTTAATTGTGAGTTTTTACCTGTATCTTCCAAGTGTATACATGGTGGATGTGTTGGTGTTAATGGGTTAGATGTCTTGCTTGGGATTGATGTGAAAATGTTCTGCTCATCTTCAATTTATTCTTATGGATTAACATCATATAAAATTTTGAATTTGTTAGAAAGAAACTTGAATTTTGTTTGCATATTTATAGGTTTTCTTGTTTTGAGAAGTTAGATTTGATTGAATGGTCGAATGACATAGAAGGGAGTTTTTTTCTTGGTCTTAAATGCGTGGGTTTACTCTGTTTTGAAAATTACTATATTTAAGTGAGAACAGATGATTTTGGGTTTACCCTTGTATTAAAATTTGTAAATAATATGAACAAGTATGGAACAGTGAAACAAATTTGGAGATTGAATTGATTTGCAGTTGTATCCTATACGTTATCTTACTGAAACTAAAAAGTTTGGTCATATGTCTAAAAATTTACTTACAAAGCACTTCTTTTTTTTTTTTTGAATAGCAAGAAAACAATATTATTGAACTAAAAGGTGAAAACAAGGGGTGGACAAGATGCCCTTGTACAAAGTTGAGAGATCTACTCAAAAACCTAAGAAGCGTTAACTAAAACATAAAACAAACCACCTAAGTATAACAAACAGCAGCCCAATCCGTAGTAATCGAAATTCAGGGGTATGTCCTTGAAAAAGGGAGACACATAGGCCCAAAGTGACGTGAGATGCCTTACCTTATCCAACAGTGCATCAACTTTAAATTCCTTTTCATTAAAAATTCTATCATTTCTTTCCAACGAAATGGTCCAAAAGATAGCAAAGATAATGCAGGACTACAATGTTTCGGCCTTCTTATTGCTTCCAAATTTGCCATAGGAAACCAGCAGGAAAGCACATTTTCTTTATTTATTTATGCTGATTTCAAATTGAGGCTGCATATACTCTGGAAAGATTGACGGGTTGATATGGACTATAGGAAATCCAATAGGAATTTGCATTTGGGCTTTTAGAAAAGGTAATAGGCAATGATTTAATGAATCGTATGGGCACATTAAGCTAAACTGTCAAAAGAGTTTGTGTAGTTGGCCAACAAGTAAATTACTCTTTTGGTTGGTGCAGTGCTTGTCTAGTTGCATGTGTGTAGAAATTTATAGGACACATGTTATATAAATATGTGAGTGCATTTCGCTGTATTACAATACTGCTATTTTCATTTGATTATTTGAACTTGTCTTTTTAAACTATTAGCCTTGTTCTACATTTTATAGTGTTTATCATGCTACTTGATTTTTATATCAAAATATAGGCATAGTTTAATTAAGACCATACCTACTGCTTCTGGGAAGAAGATAAACAAGAGTATTTTGGTTGGTCTCTATTATCAGTTGGGTTTTTTTTTTCATATGAAGAGCTTCTTTCCTTTATGACCGTTACCTCTCTTTCAATTTGTTTGTTGAGTTGTGTAGAGTTGGGTTAACAAACCAACTATGCAATGCAAGTGTGCGTGTATATGTTTTGAATTATTAAAGCACACCACATATTCTACAATTAACTTGGAAAATGAAACTATGACTACAACGAGCAGAAATAGAATTGATTTTAGAAGTGTGAAAAAGATGGAGAAATTGATCGATCATGAAAAAAACATAAAGCCGGTGCATGCCAAAAATCGATTAAGAGAGAAACAGATTGGCTTCTCATAAATCGATTTGAGAGAGAGAAAGATGGGGGGTTATTGTTGCAGATGGAGGGATTTTGAGTTTTGGAAGTGGTAGAGGGGTTGGAGTTAGAATGAATGAGCCTTTGGTAGAGGGAAATCATTGAAGTGAAGAGGGCAAAGAGAGAGAGAGAGGTCCTTATATACCTGATATCTATCTGGTTGGAGAGAACACCTTCACTTCAACAATGGAAGCCAATAGAGGCTTTAGTCCCGTTGTGGCTGGAACTCAACAGAGGATACTAGTTATTGCAGGAAATTAAGGATTACACAAAGATAGTGAGAGCAGCAGAGGAGGAAGAGAATGAGTGAGAGACGAAAAAAGAGAAAAAGAAGCATAATCCTTGTGGATGTGGGGGAGTGAGAGGAAAATAAGAGGAGAGAGAGTTAACCGGTTGCTCAAGTTTCCCATTTTCTACCATTAAACAATTCAATGGTCTTGATTAATTGTTTGTAATCTAAGGGCAGATAATTGGGTTGCACACCTAAACAACTCTCATAAGAAATTTACATAAAAAAATTCTAAGATTTGACATCACCAATGTGATGACCAGGTACGTAACCCGTCTTACTTTTCTTTTGTGCGCGTGGGTTTAACACCTTTGAAATCTATTTCTCAAAATTTTCGTCTCTACTAATTTTAATTTTGAGTTCCACTTGTTTCAGGAGGCTTGAAGTTGAGTCCGGGGTTTACACTTAAGTTGGAGAATTTTCTGGGCTAAGGGCTAAACTGCACGTGTGGGGGCCTTGGGCCGCATGTGCGGGGTTGGGGCCACACGTGCAGGAGATGAGGCCGCACGTACGGAAAATAGGGGAGGTTCTGGGTTGGTCACTGCAATATATGCAGGTGCGGGAGTGGAAGTATATATGAATTTGTTGTGGGAGTTTGTAGAAAGAGGCGTCTTTTGATATTGTGATTATTGAGGAGAATTAAAATGATGACTCGAAATCCTAATTTCTCTTCCATTTAAATTTGATGCCGGAGTTTTTAGTATTAGGCATTGGTTGTTATTGTAATTAGAATTAAAATGATGAGTCGAAATTCAAACAAAATTTTCTTCTTTTTTTTTTTTCTTTCAAAAAACCCTTTTTGACATATAAATTTGTGTTTGATAGGTAAATAAGACCTCAATCATAGTAGATGCATCCAAGTATATAGAGGAGCCGAAGGGAAAAGTAGAGAGGCTAAGCCAAGATGTTGCAAGTTCACAAAGTTCAAATGGACAAAACTCATTGCCAATGGTACATATTTTTAAAAACAACTGTGCTATCCTTTCTTTAATATCATGTATAAAATCATGAAAATTAGTAACTTATTTTTTTTTTTCATTTATTATATTTCAGCAAGTTACTGTGGAAACCTTAGAAAAGGGTTTCCTAATTAATGTGTTTTCAGAAAAAAAAAAAATGTCCTGGGTTGCTTGTCACCATACTGAAAGCCTTTGAAGAGCTGGGCCTTGACGTGCTTGATGCTAATGTTTCCTGTTCAGACAATTTCCGTTTAGAAGCTGTTGGAGGAGAAGTAAGGAATTATCTTCTTTTCCTTGTGTGTGTTGTTTTTTTATGATTTATTTTGATTCATCGTAGCTTGGATCATGATTTTGAATATCGGCAGATACATATACTGGTCGATACAAAATGTTTGTTATGTTTAATAGTTTTAGTGTGATCTATATTTGTATGAATTATGCCCTTTGCTCAAGTAGTTTTTTTCTTCGGTAAAAGACGTGAAGTTTCTTGTCACGGATGTTACAAAAATGACAACTTTGTTGATTCTCATGGAACCTTGCAGAATTTTTTTTTCAATAACTTCTTTTTTCTTTCAACTGTCATTCGTATTCCTTTTTAATTATTCTTCATCTTGATGAGTTTGATCCAATATTTTTTTTTAAGGCTAGAAATAGTTGGAATTGGTTATTGACCTCCTAGATGGAACCTTTTCTCTCTCACATATTGTACTCACTTTCTCCAAGTTTGTTGAGAAGGCACATATTAATTTGTACATGATAGATATTACTAGGTGTGTATTTAATTGTTGATTATTTTTCATTGTTGAATGTATGAACAAGTCTTTTTACTAAATTCTCTGGCTTTTTATGAACCAACAATCAATTGCTAAATGAATTATTTATATTTTCTATTTTATTTTTGTGGTTTTGATATACTAATTGGGGTTTGTGAAAAATATTATAGGGTTTTAAGGGTCGTTGAATTCGGTGGCTAGTGTTAATGCACCTAAATGAGTTGTCTCTTTAGAGTGTCAATGGTTTCTTTATTGAGTTACAATATGTTTTCTTTATTGAGTGTCAATGGTTTCTTTATAGAGTGCCTATACATTTTCTCGATTAATTTATAATCTTCATGGTTACTTGATAATGAGTTTCAATTTTTTTTTTCTTCTCAATTATGCTATGTATGGTCCCAAATTTCATAGTGGGTTTTTCTATTTTTGTTCTCGTTCTTAATTGTAGTGTTCACTGCGTTTGCAACTCAGAGCTTTGTCTTACAACCTCTACCCGTAGACACTTTGTAGACACTTCTCTCAAAGCAAATATAATGGTTTGTGGTTTGGCTTCTTTTCTCTTTCATTTCCTCTCTAAATCCAATATTTGAGAATTTGATTCAGCATATTTTGTTTATTTGGGCATAATCATTTTTTTTTTTAGGGTTATGTGCGTGTCTATATGTAATATGTATACTTTGTATTCTATAAAATGCTTCACCTAACGCAATACATGTTGTTCCCCCTATATACGACCTGTGGGAACAAAATACATGTAATTAGGACACGTAGGTTGGAAGTTAGAGTAAAAAACGCCATAAACTTTGTGAAAAAAGGGCATCCGATGGGCAATGCGTGCGAACCACTCTGGGGATGTCACAGGAAGCTTGCTTGTGATAAATACGACCTGTGGGGATAGACAACATGTAATTAGGACACATAGGTTGGAGATTAGAGTTCAAAACGCTTTAAACTTAGTTGAAAAAAGGCGTTAAGAGGGGGCAAAAATACGAAACAGTGCGTAAATCACTCTAGGGATGTCACCGGCAGCTTGCTCGTGACAAGTACAACCTATTGGGACATACACTACTAGAAAAGGGAGTATTGGACACGGAACCTTTTTCGATGGTGTGAAAATCGTCGTAAAAATCATGTTTTTGCCACGGCAAACGAAGCCGTCGTCAATTTAATTTTTTTTGTGACGGAAAATCTAAGACCGTTGCAAAAAATAGTATTATATGCGACAATTTGTTACCTTTTTTTTTTTCTTTTTGCAATTGTTTTAATCTTTTTGCGACTCCTTTTATTCCTCCGTCGCAAAATGTTCTATTTTTGCCCTCCCTCTTTTCCCACTCTTTTACATCCTCTGCCCTATCTTTTCAGTTCTTAGATCAAAAAAAAAAAAAAAAACCATCAGTCTTCTCCCAGTCGAAAAAAAAAAAAAAAACCATCCATCTTCTCTTAGTCATCACTGTTACTCTCTCTCGCTCCCAATCGTCTCTCTCTCTCGCATCCCCAACACCTCTAGTATGGGAAGAGTTCCAGGTAACCCTCCTCTCCTCTCCTCTCTTCTTCTTTCTTCTCATACTCGCTCACACAGACCCTAACAATCTCTCTCTCTCTCTCTTGCTTTCGCATTACCCTCACGGACAGGTTGTAGCAGCAGCGGCAGCGATTTCCCACTTCGGACACGGCCCACATATATTTTATAGTTCTCTGTTATCCAGGCATAATAATGCTATGTAAAGTATTTCCAGTTCTATGGGAAAAAATTACCCATATGGTTCTCATATCTGACTTATATGATTGTCCATTATCATTACCGTTAGTGTAAGAGGAAATTGCTTTGTTATATCTTTCAATGACCTTATTTTGTATTTACCCATGCTTAACTATCATATGCTTAACTATAAGCTCTGTCATTAGTGTCCTTGGTGGCGCAACTTCAAGTTACGGAAACCTCCTCTCTAGAAATGAGGGTAAGGCTGTGTTTTTCTTGCCCACCCTAGACCTCGCTATAGTGGGAAACTTGTGCATTGGGTCACCCTTTTGTACCTGAATTTTATGCATATTGTGAGGATAGCAAATCCATAGCTGGACAGGCCATAGGTTTCGTTGCCATTTTTGTTGTTACTTCTTTCTGTTTATTTTCTTTTTATTTTCTCCTGCATGGATTGGTGAGAAAATCATTTTTTCAATTGACTGATGTCTGATCTTCTGCAATCATATTTAATGCTTGACAGTACTTTCATGGTTCATCTTTAGAAGAGAAAATACTTGTTTAATTGCAAGGAAATCCATTTTCCTCTTACTATGTTACTTACAAGTCACAATATTCAGTTTTCTTCCTCAGTAGCTTGTTTCCACATCTAAAATTGAGAGCAAGTAGCCTTGTTGTTTCTTGAGAAGAGGTGGAAACCTACTGTCACTTGGTGAATATTGGCCAAGAACCTTTGTATTTGGGAAATTTTTGTTTTAAATGCTACTTCTTTTCCCACAGAAGCAGGTATCGAGATCCATCGTTTCTTGACTTTTGTAATTGATGAAGAAAACCTAAGCAATTGGGAAGATACATTGTTAACTGACTGTTTTCCTTCAATTGAGTTCTTTAGAAAGCAGAGATTATTAGTTGTCTCTAATTGATAACATGCAGTTGGGTCAATATAATTGCTCTTTGATGGATAGAATGATGTATATTCTTAAGTTAGTTTAGGTCAATTCCACTTGTTTGTTTTTTCCATTCTGCAGTTCAATTTTGCAACCATTTTTAAAGTAAAAGAGTAGAAGGATATGGCTATGGGGTTAGCATCATCACCCTTGTTTTCGGCTCCAATCTTACTTAGAAGGCAGCTCAACCATCACCACCCTCACTTGTTTTCAACTTTTGCTTCTCCTCAGCTTCCCTTTTCTGTAAATCTGTTTCCATTGCTTTTTATTATTATTATTAAAATTGTTTTTTTTAACTGATTGTTCAGATTTTTGAAGAAATGTTAATGGGTTGTTGAGATTCGTGCTTATTATATTACTAATCTGGTTCTTATAGTTTGGGTTGATTCAGTTGTGAATCTTGAATTAATTAAATGATATTACACCTTTTTTTTTTCTTTTTTTTCTTTTTTTTTTTTTAAGAATCACTCTATAATCAGCACACACAAAAAAAATCAATAAGATAAAAATAAACATAAATAAATTGACTAGAAGTTTGAGTAAAAGACTTCATTTGATATGAAACACTCTAATTGATAAAATCAAATTTTAGTAAAATTACCTAGTGTTAAGTTTTGAGTGGATGCCAGGAGTCAGAGTAAAGGAGAATTTGGAAAATTTGGGTAAATGCACCTATGTGTCAAGTTTTGATTGGATATAAATTTGAGTAATGGAAATGAGTTTCCCTTGATTTGAGTCAAAATTTGAGTGAAACTCAAGTTGGTATAGGTTTGAGTAAAGGAGTGGAGGGGGTTTTAGTGGTTGTTTACTCAAATTTATGTATGAGTCAAGATTTGGGCAAGGGTTGGGGATGGGAAGTGGTTGTGGCCTGAGGAATGAACCAGATTAGAATCATTAGTAAGCAAGGTAGATGTATCTGGTATTGTTGTCATGTTTATTGACCCTTCTGCCATAGCACCTCCCCCCGCCCCCTCCACCTAATTTGTTCATGGTTGGTGCGTGTGAAATGTAGCTTCTGTATGTGAATAAAGTTTTAAGTGGTAATTTTGATAATTTAATCACATTCGTGTACAAGAAAAATAGAATGACGTTTCGGTGTTCTAAAAGATCATAGAAGTTTCAATGTCAACACATTTGGAAATTTGAAGCTTACGTTACATGTGGCACCGTTATTAGCGTCATTTGCAAAATGGACATCAAGCATTCCAAGCAAAAGGATTTGTGGGAAACAAATTCTCTCAAAAAACATTTTTGGCTACGTTTTTTAGCAATCAAACTGAAATTAGTCGCCAATTTTACATAATCGGCGACAATATAATTGTTTGTCGCCAAAATTACACTATTGGCGACGAGTTAATATTTTTAGTCGCCAAAAGGTTTGGCGCCAACTTAATTTTTTGGGCGGGAGCGCCAAAAATATTTTCACGACCAAATTAATATATAGGGACGAAATTTTGGTCGCCGATTGTAAAGTTTTGGCGACGGAAATGAAATAGTCGCGGAAAAGATGAACATTACTTATGGCGACAGAAGGATTTTTGTTGCCAATAAATTAGCAAACGAAACTACGTCGTTTTGCATTTTTCAATTTTTTTTTTTTTTTTTTAAAGACTGGACCGACCCTTGTACTGAATAAACACACCCAAGCCTCATCTCATTGTATTCAGAGGAAAAGGAGAAGAGAGGGAAAAGATAGAGGATTCAAAAAGGGAATGGAAGGGAAGGGTAGGGTTTCAATCTCTCTCTCTATGCACACTTCGACGGTACGGCGAAACTGATTCGGCAGCGGTGACAATCAACGGTACGCACTCATCTATTCTCTTCTCTTCTCATTCAACATCCAAATAGTAGACTTCAAGAGTCCAAATAGCATACCCAAACAATTGTCAAGCATGAGCTAGGCAGCGAATGGCGAGAACGGTAGAGGTGTTTGGCGTAGATGAGGCAGGGAGGGGTGTGGCCGTGGGTTTGTTAGGCGTGGCCGTAGGGTAAGGATCGCCGGAGGGGGGGACTCTCTCTCTCTCTCTCCCCCCTTCTTCAGCTTCTTATTTTTTCTATTGACAAATTGTGCTTGTCTCTCTTTCCCCTATAAATTGCAATTTCTATGCCCTAATTGATTTTTTTTCTTGCCAAGTGCCTTTTTAGAATTTTTTTTAGGGGTGTTGTTGTGATGTCTGGTTTCTCTCATTAGAGTTCAAATCCCATTTTTCTTATCTGTCAAATGTTCGATAAAATGCATCAATGATGGCCTACTGTGATTTTGTTTATTAGATCCATTTTTTTTTGACTTTTGGATCTTTGAGAATATAATTTAGGAGAATTTTGGACTCAAATACAATTTAGGAGAATATAATTTAGTTTTCTTGGTGGGTTTGTTTTTTGTGTTTATCTACAAATTGAAGTTGTGGAAGTATGTATATATAGTAAATTTAGGATCTTTGATTAATCATTTTTTAGTATTTGTCACTCCATGTATTTCAGTTATAGTGTTTTCAGTGAGAGTCTGTAATTGTACATGAATTATTTGAAATACTACAATTATTTGATTTCTAGGAACACTCAGTCGCTGCTTTCACCCGTGTTCTTGATGAGGCCAGTGTTGTTCTTCTCTTCAGAGACAAAGTCTATCTTCATCCCGATAAGGTACGTACACATATATATAAATAATAGTTTTCTTGTTAGAAGAAGATTCTTATAAATTGATTTATGTGGGACTAGTGATTTGTGCTTGTGTTAGAATATAACTAACAATAAAAAGGAATGGTAGATTACCAGCATATTGTTGCTGTTCATGCGGATGTTGCTCAGAGAAAGAAGAGAAACTGGGCAGATATGGAACCACAATTTGGTTAGCCCTCAACATTCATGGTTTATACAATTTGGAAATGAAAATGAACTTAGTTTATACTTATTTTGAAAATCAACATTCATGGCTTATACTTAGTTTATCCAAATTTATTTTCTTATGCATGCTACTCTGTAGAGAAGTGTGGCCTTATGGATGTGGATCAGGAGGATTTGATGATTCTAGTGCCTCCGCTCTTCTCAATAAAGGACGTGCCAGAGAAA